TATATAGGAGGCTATTTTGATATATATGCACATACATTGTGGGATGTATAAATCAATTAGCATATACATCATGTCATATATTCATCTTTTTCATGGCAAGAACACTTAAAATCTAATCCTAGAAAATCTCCAATATACAATATATGGTTACTAACCAAAGATACCATGATGTATAATAGGTCTTTTGAACTTATTCCTTTTGTCTAACTGAAATTTTGTGTCCTTTGACTAATATCTCTTCAATCCCTCTCTCCAACTTCTAACTTCTGGTAACCATCATTTTACCCTGTTTCTATTATTTCTTTTTTTGTATTGTGAATGTAAATAAGATCATTTGTATTTGTCTTTCTGTGCCTGGATTATTTCACTTAGCATGTCCTCCAGGTTTATTCATGGTATCACGAATAACAGGTTGTCCTTCTTTTTTTATGGTTGAACAGTGTTGTATTTCCATATATGCTACATTTTAAATATCCATTCACCTATCCATGGACACTTAGGTTGATTCTGATCTTGGCTCTTGTGAATAAAATTCCATGAATATGAACATGCAGATACCTCTTCTACATTTTCATTTCACATCTTTTGGCTATATATCAAGCAGCAAGATTGCTAGGTCACATGATATTTCTATTTTTGTTCTTTAAGGAATCTCCTTATTGTTTTCATAGCCAGTATGGATCCTGGCTATACTAATTTGCTATCTCTCTAACAATGTACATAAATTCCCTTTTCTCCATATCCTCACCAATACTTATCTTTCATCTTTTGGATAATGGTCATTCTAACAGATGTGAGGTGATATTTCATTTGTGGTTTTTATTTATATTTCCCTGATAATTAATAAGCTTTTTCCCCCCATATACTTTATGATCATTTATATATCTTCTTTTTTCCATTAGGAAAACAGGGTCAAAGTATATTGCATTGGGGAGATGTCTATGTTAGTTTTCCATTGCTGTGACCAAAATACCCAACAAGGACAACTTGGAGGAGATAAAGTTTATTTTGACTCACAGTTTCAGAGGTTCAGTCTATGTTTGGCTGACTCCATTGCTTTGGACCTAAGTAGAGACAGAACATCATGGTGGAAGGGTGTGCTAGAAGAATACTTCTTGGAATGAGAGAGAGGGAGGTAGGGGAGAAAGGTGGAGGGATGGGGCCACAGGGAAAATACACTCTGGCAGGGCATGCCCCCAGTGGCCCACCTCCTCCAGCCACAACCCCACCTGTGGGGACATCTTTTACTTTGTGGGGACATCTCATATCCAAGCCATATTACAATGCCAAAGTTAGGTAGGTTAGCAGTCCTCTTCTCAAATGATTTGGGATTCAGGGAAGCGTTTTAGTGTTTATAAAGAACTAAAGAGTTTTATGGGCTGAATTTTGTTCTCCTAAATTCATATGTGGAGTCTGAACCCCTAGTACCTAAGTATGTGACTGCATTTGAAGGTAGGATCTTTAAAGGGGTCATTTTAAATAAAAAGAAGTCATTAGGGTGGTCATAAAGGTGGGCCCTTTTGGTTGGTGTTCTTACAAGAAGAGATTAGGGTACTCACACACACACAAAGAAGAGAGAGGGAAAATATGGTATTGTATAAGCCAATAAAAAAGACCACAGAAAAAAAACAACCCTGCTGACACCTCAGCTTTAGACTTCTAGCCTTTAATCGTGAGAAAATAAATTTCTGTTGTTTAAGCTATCCACATTGTACCTCTTTGTTATGAAAGACCTAGCAAATCATACATGTGTCTCTAAAACAAAAGTCAACCTGGGTCTCAGTCAATTCAAATCAGACAGGGCCCAGGCCATGAAGACCAAGTATTAAGTCATACAGCTCAGAAAGTCACCAGAGCTGCCAGGGATATTTGGTTAATGATCTTAGCCAAAAATAATTTCCAAACTCTATCTACTGTAGGAATGGGGCTTCTAATATTCTTTGAAATGTGATTCTCACTGACTCAACTATGGGACAGAAGAGCTACAGGTGTAAAATCTTTAATTCTGATGCTGAGCAGAGTCAGACACAAGCAGAGGTTGACTGACCATCTCAACAAGCTAACTAGCTGCATATTAAAAATTTGCCAGTGAATGGTTGGAGTTGTAGAATATCATGCTAAGTGAAATAAGCCAATCCCAAAAAACCAAAGGCCAAATATTTTCTCTAATAATGCAGATGCTAATTCACAATAAGGCTGGGGGGCACTAGGGAAGAATAGCTTTACCTTAGATTAGGTAGAGGGAAGTGATGGGAGGGGAAGGAAGAGGATGTGGGGATAGAAAAGATAGTAGAATGAAACAGACATTATTACTGTATTTATATATGTGACTACATGACCAATATGATTCTGCAACATGTACACTCAGAAAAATGAGAAATTATATCCCATTTATGTATGATATATCAAAGTGCATAAATGCATTCTACTGTCATGTATAACTAATTAAAACAAATAAAAAATTTAAAAAAAAGAATGAGGAATGCTGAGCCATTCAGAATTGATAGACAAGATATTTGTTTCTGTTTGCACATTCCTTGGGTATTAGATCAAGGAGGACGTGTGTGTGTGTGTGTGTGTGTGTGTGTGTGTGTGTATGTGTATATATATATATATATTTAATATCCAATGTACACAATGACTACTTCAGTTCTTTTCCTTCATGTGCTGTACTATGATTCGACCACTGTCATTGCTTCTATGGGTTACTGCAACTTCCTCCTTCTATCTTACTGGTCTTTCTTGCTCCCTGGCCTCCAGAAGTGAGGAATAAGGGCAGATTATTTTAGGTATGAATAGGCACATTGTCACGATTTTCCTATTTGCATGTATATATTTGCCAAAGAAAGAAATCACTTAGAAATTATCTTGAGTCCTTGTCCTAGTCTCTTAAGTCCAAATCTTTCTTTGCATTTACTCTCACTTTCATTCTTTCCTTTTCCATTTCTACATTTCCTAGTACTTTTCAGATCCTCCTGAACTCAGAAATAGCCTTACTTTTCTGCTTCGCTCTTCTCTTTCTCCTCAATTCCTAAATTCATCCTACATAAAATAATTTTTATAAAACATCTCTATAAAATTTTGACCATGGTGCTATTTTCCTATTTGTTAAACTTCAATAGCTCTAGACTGTCTGCAACAACAAGTTCCAACACTCCTGAGCCTAATGTTTAAGGCTATGAGAATCTGGCCTGTGCTAGAATAATCTTATTTACAACTGCTCTAGCATTTCAAATCTTACAATGAATTGAAGTGGTGTCCTGTATTACCTTCCACAATCCTCCCACCCTTATGCTTTTGCTGCTATGGTGTCATTCCCTAGCTTCCACCTCTTCTATGTTCCATCTGTCTTTCAAGACCAACTCAAAACCCAGATGCATTTGTTCTAGTTTTTCTCCCACTATGATGTGCCTTCTCCTCTGCCTTTTCATGTTATCCATCTTTTATGGCTAAGAATAATTTTAACTTAACTTTCAGATCTTTCCTAACCACCCTGGCCTTCAATCCTTCCTGAAAGGCTATCAGGGGGCCATTAGGTGCCAGACATTGTCTGAATCCTAGGGATCATAGCTAGATAATGTACAATTTCTAATGTCCAGGATGGTGTACTTTCCTCTCTAAACACCTATTTCAGTCACTGCCCAAAGAATTGTCTTCCAATAATGGGATGTGTTAGAAAATTTTTTTCTCTTTTGAACTGTCAATTATATTTCTAGAATTTTCCTTTAAAAAATGACTTGTCTCCCCTAGTTAGATTATAAAGATTCTGTCCCCCAAGCAAAGTATCTAGTATTTATACAAGAATGGAGAGGCATTTATGTACTAGGCATGAGGTCCTATTTTTGCTAGTGTTCCTACTGGTGTAATATGTCAATTTTTGGGGCACACAAACCCCATAATTTTACAGGTATTATTGCTTAGGATAAGGTTAAAGTAGACATTAGCTATTTAGGTTTTTGAAAAGTAAATTAATTTAAATTTAAAAAAATTAAGTAATACTGTTTCAAGTTATAGTTTTGGAAAAAACTAAAAAGTGGTTCTTCAAGTGTGCTATATAAGAATGAACTTGTAAAGTAGAAAATAAAGCCCAGAAATACACTGGCTCTTACTTATAAGTCTTATAACTGTCTTATAAGTCAGCATACAGGATTCAAGTGAAGGTACCTGGTTTCTCTAACTGAAACACTTTAAATTTGCCCCTTTTACCATGTACCATGATACTCTTTTGCATAAAGATTAAGTTTAATTACTTCAATGTGTCTGACCTGTGTTTTTATATGGTTTCTCATCTCCTCTGTAAGACTTGCTTTTGTTTTTTAAATCCTTCACTACCAGAAAAATGAATGGGGCACTAGAGTGAATTTTGTGTGTCTCCAAGCACATTTATAAAGCATAGAAGGAAAAAGACCCGATTTCCTGCCTGGCTGAGTGAAACGTTAATTCTTCACGTTGGCACCTCAACCTGCAGCTGTAATCAGGGCTGTTATGCCCAAATAGGCCCTTAAACGGAAGACCTGCTGAGCAGAGACCCACTTTCCCAGCCCCACTCAACTGCGTTGTCTTTTCTGCCAACTGACCAGGCGGAAGCAGCAGCAGGGGAGGAGGGACTGCAGGTAGGTGGGGAGGGGATCATTTTGAAAGCCCTAAATCCCTTGCAGGGAAGAAGCAGCTGCTCCTTGTTTTTCTAAACATCTGTCCCATCTGTGCCTGGCCTTACCTCACCGTTTGGTGGCTTGAGCTAGTTAAACGTGTATTTGACGAGGGATCACTTCTGAATGCTGGTTGGTGAGTCAAATAGGCCCAAGTGCTACCCAGAAAGTTTCTTTTATTGAAAAGAGGGGCAGTTGGGGCGCTTAAGGAGGATGGCTGTTTATTTTCTTCTCACAAAACATACAGCTTTAAAGGACAGGGTCGTTATTTGGAACATCACCCAAAGTGGACTGTATGTCCTGGGGTTATTATTTCACAAAAGTTACTTCTAGAGCTCAGATTGTACTTACCGGCCCCGATTTGAAAGAGTAATGATACTTGCACATCATATACCACTTTAATGGTAGGATGAGCTGTGCACACTGTGTGTGAGCTGCGTCTCACCGATGGTCTTCAGCAGCGTACTGCTTGTATTTGGTTTGCTTGCTAATCCTGTGCTCTTGAGAATAAAGGCCTTATTTTTATTCAGTTGTTTTTCCTTAGTACTCAGAACCAGGCCTGGAACCTGGCGAATATAAAATGGAGCTTTATGAATGAATGACAAAGAAAAATAAAGGGTGGATGTTTCATTTGGTTCTCTGAAGGAGAGTATGGGGAGGGGGGCCTCGGACATTGACACAGCAGCGGAGGGAAGTATAGTTCCAAAGTGCCAGATGCGGAACCAGAAGCCTTCGCTACGCCTCCCAAAGCCAGGCTGCGCGGTGGGAGACAGTCCCCGTGGAAGCGCGCGCAGCCACGCCCCCTTCCCTAGTCAAGCGCTGTGAGCTCCCCGGACAGGTTTCGGGGCGGGGCCCGCGAGGCGCAGGCGCAATGCGCGGCGGAAGTAGGAACTTGGGCAGGGTAAAGGATAGGAGCTTTGCCGGGCTTTGCGAAGGGCGCCGCGCTCCTCCTCTTGTCGCGGGAAGCTGCGGCGGCGCACGTGCAAACGAGTCCAAGCCCCTCCCCCATCCCACCCCCGCCCCTGCCCTGAGCCTCCGGGAGGCTGCCTCCTGCGACCGCCGTGATGGCGCTCGACCCCGCAGGTACGGGGACGACCAGCGTGGTTTGCCGAGGGCCTGGGCTCGGGTCTCGCGCCGCGGGCCTGCGGGCGGGGCGCGGCCTGGGAAAGGTGCAGAGCTGAGGTTGCACCGCTTCCGCACACTTGCCCTCACGCCTGGCCGGCTGCTATAGGGTTTCCTGCCGGCCCTGGCGTCTTCCCCTGGTTGTAGGTCATTCTCAAGTGTTAGGTGAGGCGCGTTCCGTTTGTTGTCTGAACTTTCGTCCTGTTGTGGTCTGGGAACATCTTGCCAAGGGAGACTGGTTTCTTCATCTCCATCCTCATTTTCGCCCCTTTGGGGGCACCTGCTCCTTGCAACAACAGTGTGTCTTCCAGACGTTCTTGCCACACAAGAAAATTCATTGTAGTCCCAGCGCACACTTTTACTTTTCTTTTTGGTAGTTAATGGACCCCAAGTTAATCCTTAAAGCCCAACTTAACAGTTCAAGGTCTTCATCCTTGTGGCCACAGTCATTTTCTTTGGAAAGGATCTTCAGAGTCTTGAGTTTGTCAGTTTCTCTCAATTTTTTTTTCCTTACAGTAAACCTCACCCAGTGTACTTTTTTTTTTAGGTTATTTATGTGAGGGTGTAGCTGAGGGACTTCTTGTCACTCCTTTCGTTTTAGAGAAAAACACAAAGTATTGAGAGGTGGGATGCTTTCAAACTTTCGGAGATTCTGAAGTTGAAAAAAAAGTCCCTTTCATGGTCTCTCAAGGAGAATGAAAAATATGTGCAGGACACAAATGATAAAAGTTTGTTGAATATTTTATTATCAAGCAAAGTAGTCTCATTTATCCAAAAGTAGTATCTCCATTTTACAGAATAGGAAAGTGAAATTCAGAGAGGTTAAATTACTAGTCCAAGCAGGTAGTGGTAAGATCTGGTAAGAGAAAAAAGATTGCATAGATTCTGTGATTAGAGCAATAGAATTGGTGCAGGTGAAATCATGTGGTTAGAAAAAGGATGATGTAGTCAAGAAGATCTTTGAGATGGAGAATATTGAGTTCAATTTTTAAATAAGTAAACTTTGATAATGAAAAAAAAGAAGATGGAAAATAAAGACAGAAGATTGAACTGGAGTTTGGTTTTACAAGTTATTTTCTGGGTAATGTTAATGAGATTGTTTTGAGCTCATTTCTTCATATCTGCTTCTGAATGAAATGCTATTTGTAAATAATTTCTTCCACTACTTTCTTTTTTTTAATTTTTTGGTACCAGGGATTAAACTCAGGGTCACTCAACCACTGAGCCACATCCCCAGCCCTATTTTGTATTTTATTTACAAACAGGGTCTCACTGAGTTGTTAGCTTCTCACTTTTGCTGAGGCTTGCTTTGAACTCACAATGATCCTCCTGCCTCAGTTTCCCAAGCTGCTGGGTACAGGCATGTGCCACTGTATCCAGCTCCACTCCTTTCTTCTTTCTAGAAATGTTTATTGTGCTCCTTCTGCATACACAAATGTAAGCTGATTGGTCAGCTAAGTAGGATAACTAATGGGATGGCAAAATTCAGGTTTCAATTATAGAAAATTTAAGTTAAAATCGGGATACTGAGTAATATTCCATTGAGTATATATACCACATTTTCTTTATCCATTCATCTATTGAAGGACACCTAGATTGATTCCATAGTTTAGCTATAGTGAGTTGAGCTGCTATAAACATTAATGTGGCTGCATTACTGTAGTATGTTTATTTTAAGTCCTTTGGGTATAAACCGAGGAGTGGGATAGCTAGTAAATGGATGGAGTTGGAGAATATCATGCTAAGTGAAATAAGTAAATCCCATAAAACCAAAGGCCTAATGTTTTCTCTAATATGTGGATGCTAATTCACAATAAGACAAGGACACTAGAGAAGAATAGCATTATCTTAGATTAGGTAGAGGAAAAGGAGAGGAGGAGAAGGGATGTGGGGAAAGAGTAGAATGAAACAGACATTATTATTGTGTGTATATATGTGACTACATGACCAATATTAGTCTGCAACATGTACACTCAGAAAAATTAGAAATTACATCCCATCTGTGTATGATATATCAAATTGCATAAATGCATTGTACATTTTAATGTATAACTCATTAAAACAAATAAAAAATTAATTTTAAAAATTTAAAAAATTGACTACATGAAAAAAAAATTGAGATGCTGGTAGGATTTGGAAATTACTAACACTCTGACAGTAGTACAGTTATAAAGATGGAGGTGAGTACTGAGAACTCTACAGGAACACCATCTTTGAAGCTGGAATCTGTGGGATCACCTCAAGAGTAAGTGCAGTTAATTACCTTGGCAGCCTCTATATTTTTTCTAGTATTGCCATTGTTCAGTATTTGTAAGACTGTTTTAAAATGTGCCTTCCACCTCTATGTTAATGTTAATATCTTCATTTTTGCAAATCTTGTTCTGAAAGTGAATTTAAATTTCAGTCAAAGTTTAGCCAGAGATAAGCCGATGGAAGTGGTCAGTGATCATCCTGGGAAATGTTACCTCTGCTCTCTCCACAAAAAAAAAAAAAAAAAGAAAATTATGGATCTGATCTGGTTTGCATGTTTGAGTGAATTGATTCTGAGTGAATTGATTCTGAAGGCCATATTAAGAAACATGGTCTGATTGAAGCAAACGCTACATTTTTTAAATTATGTGAATAGCTCTCAATTTAAAAAGTTCCTGCACCTCATTATCAAAGTAAGTAGTATGTTCTTTGTAGAAATTTTATGAAATATTGTAAGATAAGAAAAACCCGTGGAGATAGGGAGGAGATAAGCATTGGAGAACATTTATAGAGTTTAAAATGTTCTGCTATCTTCTAGATGTATATGAGAGAAAAAAAACAAGTCAGTTAATTCAATGCAAAGTAGGCCACAGGCAAACTGTCTTGTATTCTTCTATCAAATGTCTTCTTCTGTTCCCTATAATATTGATGTTTTTTTTCTTTATTAGATATCAGTGGGAAATTTTACTTTTTGGAAAACATAGTTTCAAAGTTTTACCAAATAAAGTAAATGAAACTTGTTAATTCGTTTAAGAAATTATGGTTACATTGTAGTTTATAGCAGATTTCTAAATTTGACATGTCATATTGCATAAGTTAATTTTCTGCTTTGATCTGCTTTTCGATTTGTTGAGTGAAAGGGGAAGTTTTCACACCTAGCAATATGTACAATCTGAAGTTCAAGAAATTGGTGGTATTGAGAAATGAACATCTTCTGTGAAGGAGTTGGTTATTAATAGTGAAAGCTGATAAGATAAAGAAGTTCAGATGAAGTATGTCATTGTGGGATATAGGTAATAAATGACTCAGAAACTAAGCAGAAATAAGTGCATATACCTTGTTGATATAGTTTCCATATTTTGTAAGAGTTTGAGACTAAAAGATTAGATGTTGCTAATTAACCTAATATTTTATATTCCTTCTCTTCAAAGAAAAAGGTGTTTGTCAGCTACCTGACGACTTGCTCCTCTTTTCTTCTTCTTCTTCTTTTTTTTTTTTATAGTTTTTCTCCCATTGGAAGGGGTCAGAATTCATTTGTCTTTACTTTCTGATCAAAAAATGAGAACTGTGAAATTTTGAATTTTGCTTGTTCCAAATGATACTTCTGAAATATACAGTTGTATTGTCTAAGGGTTATTTCCATGCTTTGGCATAACTGCAGAAAATCAATTACCCTTATTTGCCAAAGTTCTCTTAGATAGGCCTCATATGTATGATGGTGTTATGGAAAATTTGAGACATTGGTTATATGACTTAATGTTACCTTTCATCAGAGACTTGGGTCATTTTACCTCTGTGAGCCTCCATTTCTTTATCTGTACAATTTGATCAAAATACTTAACCTGGGAAGGTTGTTATGAAGACTGTATGGCCTTCATTGTCCTTGTCTCCTTTTTGTTTTGTCAGTTTAAAATAGCATGAAGGTAAGACTGTATGAGGCACATGGATCCTAACTGTCTTGATTTTCCCAATTTAAGACCTTCTTTCCTTTTCTCATGTTGCACTTTTATTATTGCAAGAGGGTATGAGCAAGCTGGCAAGAACGTGAAAATCTTGTTATGAGCATTTATATGGAGGGAGCTAGAGTCTGCCTAGCTTCTGGTGGGAAGCACTTAGTGTTATGGTTTGGATTTAAGGTGTTCCTCAAAAGCTCATGTGTGATACGATGCAGGAATATTCAGAGGAGAAATGATTAGATCATGATAGCTGTAACTTAACAAATTAATTCGTTTGATGGATTAATAATTTGAATGGATTAATGGGTGATAACTATACACATGTAGGGCATAGCTAGAGGAAGTAGGTCACTGGGGGATTTAATTTTTATTTATTTATTTATTTTTTTTTTTAAAGAGAGAGTGAGAGGAGAGAGAGAGAGAGAGAGAGAGAGTGAGAATTTTTAATATTTCTTTTTATTTTTTTTAGTTCTCGGCAGACACAACATCTTTGTTGGTATGTGGTGCTGAGGATCGAACCCGGGCCGCACGCATGCCAGGCGAGCGCGCTACCGCTTGAGCCACATCCCCAGCCCCTGGGGGGATTTTATTATCCTTGACTTCTTGCACTGAAGCTCTCTTTGCTTGCTGGCTGTCAGGAACAGAGTAACTTTTCTCTACCATGCCCTTTTGCCATGATGTTCTGCCTCTTCTCAGGCTCAGAGCTATGTAGTTGGCCTGCCATGGATTCAGCCTCTGAAACCTTGAGCCAAAATAAACCTTTTCTTAAGTTCTTCTTATCAGGTATTTTAGTCACAGTGATGAATATTAGGAAGTAAGATATTT